TGGATAAGGCGTCTGACTTCTAATCAGAAGATTGTCGGTTCGATCCCGGCCGTGGGCTTACCTTTTGCAAAATGTCTGTGCGTAGTTCTGAACATGGGGATAACGATCGCTGGACGAGTTTTCTCGATAACCATCGAAAAGTGCTGTTTTCTTTGAAAAAAATCGGTTGAATCAGGCCGAGAAACGACGATTGCCCGCGTGGCCTAATGGATAAGGCGTCTGACTTCTAATCAGAAGATTGTCGGTTCGATCCCGGCCGTGGGCTTACCTTTTGCAAAATGCCTGTACGTAGTACTGAACATGGGAATACCGATCGCTGGACGAGTTTTCTCGATAACCATCGAAAAGTGCTGTTTTCTTGAAAAATCGGTTGAATCAGGCCGAGAAACGACGATTGCCCGCGTGGCCTAATGGATAAGGCGTCTGACTTCTAATCAGAAGATTGTCGGTTCGATCCCGGCCGTGGGCTTACCTTTTGCAAAATGTCTGTGCGTAGTTCTGAACATGGGGATAACGATCGCTGGACGAAAAGTGCTGTTTTCTTAAAAAATCGGTTGAATCAGGCCGAGAAACGACGATTGCCCGCGTGGCCTAATGGATAAGGCGTCTGACTTCTAATCAGAAGATTGTCGGTTCGATCCCGGCCGTGGGCTTACCTTTTGCAAAGTGCCTGTACGTAGTACTGAACATGGGGATACCAATCTTTGGACGAGTTTTCTCGATGACCATCGAAAAGTGCTGTTTCCTTAAAAAATCGGTTGAATCAGGCCGACAACCGATGATTGCCCGCGTGGCCTAATGGATAAGGCGTCTGACTTCTAATCAGAAGATTGTTAGTTCGATCCCGGCCGTGGGCTTAGCTTTTGCAAAGTGCCTGTACGTAGTACTGAGCTCTAGGTTGTGCATTATTTGTCCGATATATATTCGTTTAGTGGTTTTCTGATCGTTTTCCTTGATGAATTTGGCTCTGATTGGTGTTTTGAGAAAAAAAATTCTTCGATTTACCACTAGTCCCCTTTCAAGTCCACGCATTAGAGACCGCACAACGCGCTCATCTTTTCTGGTTTCTGTTATGACTGTTTCTAGTTTTTCAAAGATCAACTTTACTGAACTACTATCAAATCATCTCTTTTTCTAAACCCGGGAAGTAATGGAGTACTTGCTACATTCTTCACATTGGTGATTCCACACAGAAACTTTGTTTGATCTCATGTGTGTAGGTGACCAGAACGTGACTGTTTCCTTCTCATACGGAATACGCCACTGTTTACTATACAGATTATAGGATCTCGGTTTCCGTAGCTGTCACGTTCTGCTCCCTCAGGTGTGTAGCTTTGGAAGCTGCGTTTCTGCTGCAGCTCATCATTTCTTTTTCATCCCATTTCATTGTTTTTCTTTGACATTGTAGGCAATCGATTAGGCTGTCCTCGCCTCCAGCTCGTCCAAGTTACAGTGGCCTATAAATCCTTCGCTTCTCCTGGTACTAAGCTTAAAATCAGTCAGCGCTTTACGTTTTCCATCTCGTAAAATAGCCTTTCGCTCTTATTTTCCGCTCCAACTTCACATTTTTCGGCTAAACAATATTTCTACGTGACACGTGGACACAATGCGCATCTTCAGCTCGCATAATTCTCAAGCACTTCAGTGTTCAATCTCCGTGAATTAGTGAAATATTCCATGTATGAGGACTTTGCACATATTGATGAAGCTTGCGTTCATATCTCCTCTTCTGTTAACCAGTTATGACAAGTCATTTCATCGGCTATTTTATATTTTTTGTTCTTCAATGATGAATTTTCTTTCAATAACTAATTTTCCATGTTTACTTCTGTGGAGTTCAACATAACGAAAATTAAAGCTCACGGGTTGATGAGAGCACCACCATCACATGGATGAACCCGAAAGAGTAATTTTGTTTCCCTAACAACTTTACACCAAGACTAGTAATTGGGTGCAATAAGGAACTGCTTTGGGTTGTGTGCCATTGTTCATAGGAAGGATGTGCACACTGACACTCTACTCTGTAGAGTCTTATGTTTCTTTTGCCTGTTCCAAACGCCACGATATTTGTGTATTTGTTCATAATCTCAGCTATTCCCGCCATTCTCTTCATTTCATGTACAGTTTCGGGCTCTCTCTCTCTCTC